ATAAAATCTTGTTGCCACATACTACGGTACAGAAGAATGTCAGGAAGCCTGGTCTGGCTGGGAGAAATGCTAACAAACTCAGCTGCATTCAAGCAGCACTAGGGGAGAGGGTACTAGGGTGCCTGTGGGAACTTCAAAGGAAAGGTTACATCTGTAAGGAAAAGGATGCCTTCTGGTCTCTGCTAGAAGAGAGGAGGTTTCACCCTCTCCCCTCCAGCCATTTGGAGATGCCCAGTATAACTTCAGGTGCAGCAACTGCTTAGTCCCATTGATGAATCCCCTCAATCCACTTGTAGGACTTGCCTTTTGTTAGCTAAATGCTCTCCCCACCCAATTTTCTACCAGTTTTCCATGTCAGTAACTAACAAGCCCCATACTGTGCACAATGAGAGCATACGGTAAAGACAGGATCTCAGATTTGACTAGATAGGGTGAAGAGTACATCTGGACAACCACCAGTGTAGCTCCTCTTTATTTCCCTTTATTAATACCACAATGACTCAAATGAGCAGTGTTTAAATGGCTGCAGAACAAGCACTGCACTGCCACACAATGCAAAGGCACTGGAGGAGAGGGTTCATCTGAAACCCTATTTTGCACAGAGAATGGGGGTTAAGCGTCTGGAAATATGTGGATGGTTTGTTGTGCTGCAGCGTCTGGCATAGGTTGGATGAAAACCTGGTGTGCAAAGACCACAAGCTGCCAAAGTACATGCCTGACCACCTGGAAAGCAGTTGATGGATGGAAAACGGAAGAACCATGCTGGACTATTCACGTATAAGGTATTTTCCTTTGTCACATAAGGTTTCCTACAAGAATGTGAATATAAAAAATATTCAGTGTAGTCCTGTCTGTGACAGTCTGAGACATTTTGCAAATCTAACATCTACCTGGCACAATGGAAAAGCATGAAGGAGAGACTTTGAGCCGCTCAACTCCAGAAATCACTCCACATGGCAGCAACCTCCAGCGAAACAGCCTCACAGCTGCTCTAAAGAATTCCAGCTGTTAACACATCCTCATGAGGAGCCATCTGCTAGCAAGAGTGCATCAATACTGCACTGATACGCCCACAGTCTCCACCTCACAGGCTATGAGGCTAGAAACGACTAGGTGCAAACAGCACAGCAGGCTTTTGCCATCCAAAAAGCTTACGTAGTCCCTGGCTTGAAAGATCTATATTCCCTTCAAGTTTGTAAGGGCTGGGGGACTCAATCTTCCAAAACTATGTCTTCCCCAGGTACATTTGTTGACAGTAAATCAGTTTGTGCTCATGAGCCCTTTTGTGCACCCTTTGCATCCCACTTATGCTCTCAGATGGGTCATGACTGAGATAATGTGTGATGTTGGCATAGCTACCAAGGACTAAACAATGCTCCTCACTGCCCATCTCTGCTCACCTATGTTTGCCAACAAGCCACAAAGAGAGGGAAGAGCCACAGAGACGAGTGGCCACAGTGGACTATGATTTCCCAGAAACAGCCATTGTAAAAGGCTGGGAAGGAAAATCCCCTCCCACCCTGTGTTTGGGGAGGCACGGGCCAGAAGTTACACACACCATGCAAGAGGCAGCTGGTTGGGCATCCTTGGCTGTGTCACTTCATACTAAAGATCTTCAAAAGGCAGAAGAGACCCCCCACTCTGGATGAACTATTAAAATTTCTGTGTAAATATCCTGAAGAAGATATCAAACACAACTTTTTCAAAAGGGCTTAGATAAAAGCATGCTACTCCTGGTGCTGGTACCTCTTGCAAAATGGGAGCTAGTGTCCTACTGGTATCAGTGGCAGGCACAGAAACTCTTGTGGCTCTGAACAACATATCCCACATACACAGACTCACATATTTTCCTGGCTATGTGCCTCAAAAGCAGAACTAGAGCACGAACCTTGCTGTCTCAGTGGGCAGACCCACTGAACCAGCTCAGTACCAACCTGCCACAATGGGAGGATGCTATTGGCACAGGGAGAAGAACCCACATATATGATTACCCTACTTCCCTCTTGAAAGTGCCAGGCTAAGCCAGAAAAGTTAACAAGGGTAAAAATTAAACCAGCCCCATACTCATCAAATCTCTTGCTGGGTAACCCCTGGGAAACTAGTGCCCCACCACAGGAATGTCAGAATCTCCCATGCTGGCACAATAATCCAGGGACTGTTCTTGAAGGTTAGGGAAGTTTATTTTTACAACTCTGCACAGTGCCTACAAATCTATCAGCCACACAGCATCTGGTTCAGGCACTGCCCTTTGAATGGCTTTTCTGTTGGTGCAGTAATTAAAGGTATCCCAGGTGACACCTGATCCCTTATCAAGTTCATTAATTTAAGTGGAGTTATTTGGCTCTCTATTTTCTATACTTCATAATGTATTTCTAACCTTTAAAGTGACATAGGCAAGGACCAGATTGCAGGGGCGCTTATTAACAGCCTATTAAAATATTTTATGGCCTTTATTTTTACGTTGCCATAGGGAATCAAGTATTTTGCTGTTGTTAAACAGGCTCAGGATTTATGTTGCGAGAGCTTCACCACAGCCTAACACAGAGTACTGCTAGGAAATGAACTGGGAGAACAAACTCTCTTTCAGCTCTCCATGTGCTGTAAAGCTGTCATATGCAGATGGCAGCAAGGGGCCCTCCAATGCAGGCCCTTGGTTTGCTTTGCTTTTTTAAATATAAACCGATACAAAAAGATGCAAAGCTCTGGGACCTGGGGGTCTTTTTACCAACCCTATAGACCCATAGAGGGAAGCTCAAAAAGGATCTTCATGGTCTCCTGTGAAATAACGTGATCTGTGGCTTTTTCTCCCAGAGTTGCTGTAACACATCGACATTTTGCAACTGAGTTAGAGCCAAATGACTTTGGAAGAAGACAACAATCTTCCCTGCAACGAGACTACAATTTCATCTAGAAGAAAACTATGATCTTACTGAAAAGTTTTCTAGAGACTGCAAACCCCTTGCTTCCCTAAGAAACCTCCATCAAAGGTGAATTCCCTTCTCTGTTACAAATCTGCACCTCCTCCTAAGTCAAGTACATTCACAGACACAACACATCTTGACTTTAGACACCTAAAATTGTCTTGCTTAGGCATTCAGAAATTACAATCAAGTCCATTCTGGAATTCTTGCTTTGATAAACTTCCTAGGTTGAGGTTGTTTACCCGAATTTATATTATGTTTCTCTTTTTTTCTCAAGCATAAAAAGTAATTTGTAATGAAGCAAAACATTTGGAAGTGTATCAGCAACATACTTAAAAGTATTTTAATTGCTTGTGTTTTCAAAATGTTTTAATGAAGTCAAATCAGGAATAGACACTCATCCACCAAAGAACCTATAAAATATTTTACAATTACATTATAATTGATGCAACTGGTTGTATAAATTCTTGGCATTTTAAACAAAGATACTAGAGATTAGCACAAGAAGATTATTCAGTAGGCAATTATTTGTTCTGCTTTAATTATAAGGGTGTTGGGGTTTTTTTCTCTCCATTTTTTAATTTAAATGTCACACTGCAAGGCTTTCTAGACAGATTTTGTGTGGGTAACCTTAGAGAGAGTGTTCTCAGCAAGCAATCCCATAGCATTAATGCATGACAAGTAGCCATATTAATAAATGTTATTAAATGTACCGTTCCTTTAATACCTCATCCAAGACCAAATGAAAGACTATGTTACTGGGATCAATCTTGGACATCCAGGGGGGATTGCTCTCCCAATTTCATTCTGTACTGAGTGATGTCAGGAGAAACAGGGGCACACCACAGAGCAGCCTGCCCACAACCTGGGCAAACGAGCGCCCTGTGGGTTTTCGGGTTCAGTGGGGTCTCCTGCATTTGCAGACTCCAGTTCTCTTTCCTCACAACCCTCGTGGAAGAAGCTTTGCCTTAGAAACTAAAACTTCACCCGACGGACCATGCCAGGTTGTGGCATGCCAACGGCATTGCAAGCTTTGCTTGCTGAGGCAGTTTTCAAGGGGGGACTGACCTGGTTTAAATTAAAGCTGCAACTGCATGAGCTGCTCAGCAGTAAAAACAATAAACTTGCTGAGAACTGCCTTGCAACTGTGCAATTCAGTCATCTCCTAACGAGCTCCCCTCACACCTCTTCTCCCACTCCTACCAAGAAAGACAGAGAAGAACCCACTTCCAGCCTCGTTGCATAACACTCTCCTTTCCTGGGTGGGCAGTAAAGCACTGACTCCCAACAATTTCCTCCTCCTGAAGCTCATTAGATGGTTTTGTTAATTAGCAGGCTCCCATTCTTATCATGCGCTGCACCTGAAATCCCGCTTGTATTTTTGAAGAGAGTAATTAAAGCCAGAGGTACTTGAATAAACAGGCACTGACAGAGACTAATATTCTATCAATATAATGAAGCAGCTTGCTAGACAGTAAAATGCCCAGATTTACTGGGCGTTCAGATGTTAACCCAGTCCAAGGGCGAAACATGCCTTGGCTGGAAAGCACATCTGAGGATGTGGGCACTCCCAGGTAAATCCTCAGTAACATTGCTGAAAGCAATCAGATTCTGGGGAGAATTTGGGTCATGAAATCTGTCAGGGGCCAGAACAAACAGAAAAGAAGTAAGGCTGCCGCCCTCAGAGCACAGAGTAATAGTAATAATCAACAGTTCAACACCTTCCCTGTAGAGACTGCAATAATTAGCTGGTAATTATTGGGCACTCTTTACATAGAGTGACTAGGGGGTTACCCTCTCCAAGGACTGAAAATGTAGCTTTGCCTCCTTCATGCAAAATCAAATGGAAAATGCCACCACTGGCAGCCCAATCCCAATAAAGATAGTGCTTCATCATCAGCCACTTGTTGGTACCTATTAGAAACCACTCTGCAGTGCCACAACCCAGTGTACTATCCCTAGTTATCACTGCTGCCAGCAGAGCTGGTTCCCCTGTTATGCTCTTCAGAGCAGAATGGGGAGAATAAACAGCAAAAGACCGAAACAGGCAGAGAGCAAGAAAAAACCCCAGCCACTTACTTGATATTGTCAAGACATCCAGATTCAGGTTTCAGTATGGCAGTATGATGAAACATTTTATAGAGAGCAATCCCAAGGAAGATGACATTAAGCTGCAATGGGGGGGGAGGAAAAAAAAAAAGGATTATGTGACACAGCACGACATGATGGGGAGAAAGTTAGCTTCTTTGTAATTGATGCGTTACTGTAGGAAATTAGCTCTCACTACAATTTTATAGCAACTGAATCACAGAAAATTTCCAAGCATTTTATAAGGTGAGCTGGCCTGTGGACTGCAGGACTGGTGATGCTACAGCCTTACCAAAGCTGTGGCACTGTGTATGTTACTGATATCAGGCTGGTTCTAACCTCAACTTTAGTGCTTCACTGATGTTATGGAAAATTAAAAATACTTGCTGCAATGGCTTTTTTGTGTCTGAGAGGTGTACAGGCGTGAAAAGTCACTCCAAGCATCTTGCTTAGCCAATCCCATTGTAACAAAGCATAAAGGCATCCTTTTCTGTGAATACACCTTTTAGACATGGTGTAATGGGGCAGAGGGTTGGGGAAATCCCAACTGCTGAAGATGCTTAGCACAGTGCAAAGTTGAAAAAAAAAAAGAAAAGGAATTTGATTTCTTCTGTAAAAGATGTGATGATGTTTCAGTGCCTCAGTGTTAAAAAGGCTGCCAATTCCTAGAAAGGAGTTCCTTCAAAATCTCAGTCTGGAGTTTGAGACATAATCAAAAAGGGAAGATACCTTTTTATGAATTAATTGCTTAGGGGAAAAGAAAACCCAACAGTTGTAGCTGGTGGTGTGGCCCCCTTCTTGATATGGAAGGCTGCTGAAATGGCCCCCAGTTACAGGAGAAGCAGAGACAATGTCTGCATTGAAGCGAGAGTGCCTGGTTTTCCCTGCTAGCCAAACTGTAGTTAGTCAAAACAAAGGATGGTTTATTTAAGCCATATTGTAGCAATTAAGTATAAGAAAACTCCAGCTGTCTCTGAAGTTGGGCTCTCTACCTTGTTGCTGTGTTAGCTGATATGCTGGCAATGTGCTAAACACGAAGCTATACAAGCTTCAGCTTCTGCTGGGAAGGAAAAAACCCTCATCAAACTACTCGTCCAGTTTGGACTTTATTTCATGCCCCTATCCCATATTTCCTCTTTTTTTTTTTTGCATTATCAATGCAAAGCTTTGATCTGGAATTCAAAAATTGGGTGAGCAGTGAGTGGCATCAAAATAGAGTTTGGCACTTCAAAATGCCCAGTGGTAGTAACCAAACTCTGCAAGTGCCTGCTCCAAAGCTCCCCAGCCCGTTTTGATCAAGTATTTTGCAATGCCAAGAGCTTCTCATAATGAGGGTCTAATTGCTTGTGCCAGGCAGGGTCAAGGAAGAACATGCCTTTCTCAAATTAATCTGTGTAAATTAAAGATAAAGAGTAAAGGGACAGCAAAAGTTTTATTTCTTGACCTGAGAGATGGAGTAGTTAATTAGGAGTTCTTACCATAATTATCAAGGTCGCTGGTCCTATAAAGCTCCAAATGAAGTAGGTGTCAAGTCGGAGCCAACATCTGTAATGAAACACAGGGGAAAGAAGGCATTCAAGGACTGCACTCAGGACATACATCAAGACTGAGCAAGTGACAGAGAAGAATGTGAGCTGCAAAACACGCCGGTGGGAGACAGGAAATATTACATTGCTTGTTCATTTAAATGCTGAATTATGTGCCCAATTTCTGACAGCGCTATTGATGGAGTAAGATAATTACCTCTAGAGGAAGCAGGGAGAAAATGGCACAAGGCTTATTTGCTAAGGTTTTCGGCGTCTGTCGGAAAAAATCCTTAAATTGAGGGGGTATTTTAAGGAAGGGGTCTGATGAACATCCATAGACCTGCTTCTTTGCGTTATGCTCCTCAGTGCTCTCCAACTCTGATGCAATCCAAGCTGTCTGTCAGCTGTCAAGTGAGATGACATTTCTCCAGCAATCATATCAGAGTAAATTTGGTGCAAATAGGAAGCCTGAATTGGATAACAGGAGGCTGAGGTTTAATTAGGTTCAGCAACTTCCCTTTTCAAGTGTTTTATTTCCCTGAACCTCCAGAGTGTTTTGTTTCCACTAATGTTTCCAGGGTTGCATATGGTCTGTGCTATCACAAGAAGTTGATTCATGGCCTAAAACTAAATTATTAATCGCTTAATTTCAACCGCATTTAATACTCCCCACATTTTTTAAGGCCCTTGGGAAATTACATTTCCATTCCTAGTTCATTCCAGGTGACAGGAAGATAAAATGGAAGTGACTGGTTACAAGACAGACGAATGTAAATTCCAAGAAAGTTTCACATGATGTTTAAAATAATAATATCTTGTCATGTTTGCAACGCTGCAAATCACAGCCCTGTTTATACACAAAGGACCTGAGAAAGCATAAAACCACTCTTACACTAAACATCCAATGGAATTTCATAATTAGGCAAGTGACAGGAACTTATTGCAGTGGAAGAGATAGCAGTTCCCACAAATGACAGCTCTAGTCTATGTGCTTCATGTTTTTTCCCTTCCAATGGACTTTGCAACAGGCATAAAGGTCTGTGCCAGCAGCCCTGCACGACATGATCAGCAGGAGATGCCTGCGGAGAGAATAATATAACATGCCCTGGCTCTCTACGACTGGGAAAAGCCAAGATATGAATAAATTCAGAAATGCAGAGAAAGCTTCACACTTCTCTCCCTGACCATATAAATTTCAAGTGTCATCAGTGTTGAAGATGTATCGATGTATATACAGTCATACCAATTTTGTTACAAATTAAAATACCGTCACTTCAGTGACTGTCATTCCTGAACTGCTTCTGCAGCTTCTCATCCAGAATCTTCATGTGATAGCATCAAAATCTTAATGCAAGAGGCAAACAGAGGCTTTCAGAGCGATTGCAGGGAAATCTTGTTTCCTCCGTGGCTGTTGAAGTTCAAGGTGATTTAGATGCAGCTGGTAATGGAACAACATGAGTGACTTGAAACTACTTGAGTCTGATTCCCTGTAGGAAAGGGTTTATGCGATCATGACATCTGTGTATCACCTATAATAACATCTGAACTGTCACCCAATTGCAACTAGATTTGACAAAGGAATAGAGGTTTCAAGGATAATGAAGTCCCTGTAAAAGCCCTCCCCCCATCCCTGAATAAAGATGTCCGCATAGCAGCAGCTCACATATTACATGGCATTTCAGACCCCATCCCCCATAGGAAAAAAGTGTAACTAGTGTTTATGCCTCAGCTGCTCTATATAAATCAGGGAATATGCAGCCCCATCACTTTTTTTCTACTGATAATGAGTGCTGGTGCGTGGGAGAGGACTCAAAGGGTTGTGATTTTGGGGGTTTTCGTTTGTTTTGGTTTTTTAATGAAAATATTTTGAACTTTTTTTTTTCCAGTTTAATATTCAAAACAATTCCCAGCCTCTGCTGCCCAGGAGTTGGGAATGCAATGTATTTTCGTTGCCATCAACGTTGTTTTCCTTCAGCATAAAGAGCGAGCTGGCTCTTGGAAAGCCCAGGGAAGAGGAAACACATAAACCCTCTCTTTACTTCTTAATGCGTGATGGCTAGCCCTATGGTCACATCTGGTGCAGCTGGTTTTTAATGCATATAGATTGGGACACAGGGAAAATCAGTGAAAGCTGAAATACAGAATAAGTGAAAAGTCGTGCCAGGTTAAGGAAAGAAGCGAAAAGCAACTGGTTTCTTTTCCAGACAGCTAAATGGATGAGATTTTCCACCCCGTTCCCCTAAAAAATCTGTCTCTTCAGTTGTGGAGAACAACTGAGTGACAAGAGATGGATACTGTGGATGGGAAAGAGGAAAGGAGCCAGGTCCTGCCCTCAGGATAGGCAGGGGCCAGACACAGAGCAAAAGAAGGCCATTCCAATGAGAGATGGCTTCACCTAAGCCAGAGTACAGCTTGTGAAAAACACAGAAAGCTTTTTTCCACCTCTCTGCACACTTTAAAAAGTATGATGTAATTTTTTATTTGTTTGAACAGAAAAATCACCTTTCTATGTATGATATTTAGTCTTGGGTGACTAAATGGAAAGCTGAAGGACTGATCTGCAGAGGGACTTAAAAAAGCTGGGGAGCTTGGTGGTCATCAGAAAGAGATGCAACTTTGAACCTGTTTTAGTCATACCTTATTAAAAATGCAAATTAAGACCAAAACATCGAAACACAGGCATCCCGCCAATTGCGTTGCGGAGCTGTAAATTGCTAATCAGACAAGTACCACACTGAGCTTTTTTATTCCCTTAAAACACAAAAACCCACATGCACAATGAGCTGCATAAATGAGCTCCTCAAAACAAGGAAGCAATCAGGCAACTCACTTCCCAAAGTTGCTAATCTTGGGCTGCCGAGTTACTTCTGACCCTCCACATGCAGCTGCACTGTGAGCACAGACTTGCCACATTACGAGTTTAGACTTTGCTGCCATTAAGCAAACGAGCTGCTTCAGGGCTCAGAACAAGGCAGAGCGGATTATCAGAAAATGTGCAGATGCAGGGAACGCTGTTCAAAACTCCACTGCTTCTTCCAAGACTCACACCAACGTATTCAGTCCTCGTAACGAGCTCCATGGCACTGCTTTCCTTTACTTTTTAATTTTCTCCTTTTCCACAGTGACAACTCGCAATATTCACCTAAAGCTTTTCCCAAGTAATAAAGACTACAAAGAGTTTACTCTATTTTCTGCATGAAGAGAAATCAAATACTAACCTATCCCTGGTGTGCATTAAATATAACCAATAAACAATCATTAGCTGCCATTGGACCATAAAATTTGAAGAGCCCTAAACATATCATGTTGTTCATGGGAGCTCAGCGGTTTGTTTCACGTGGCTATACAGCCTCCTTGTCAGGGTGCAGTAATGGGATATGTATGCACCAGACATGCCTTTCAAGGGTGCAATATAGGTTCTGCTTAATGGAGTTCAGCATCCACATTGCTCATGCTTCTTCCTCCAAATACTGGCAACAACGCCGCAAATAAAACAAGTTCAGTGGAGCCACCCAAGACAGACCGCACTGTTAGAAGCTATTTTCTGAGCTACATTTACATGCACGAAATGTCGGCGGCTGGCTGATGGACTTGGAGGCTGTGTACATACACAGGGCTTTCATTTTGCTTTCTGACAGCTGGATTGCTTACCATGTATATCCTGCTTTATAGCATTCTGAATGGGGGGAGAAGGGGGAAGAAACAATAGAGAGATTCCTGCCATGATGAATTTGATCACCAGTGGATGAATATATCTACAAGTACGTTTTCTAAAATATATTGAACCATTCAAAGCGTAGCTGCTTTCCTCTGCAATTTGTAAGAGACTTTGATATTAAATCCAGGAAGGTATGGGAATATGGAATAGCTTCATGCTGTCGATTTTGGATGGCCTGCTTCTACAACGAGTCTTCTAAAGTCTTAATTGAGCATTTAATTCTAGACACAAGTTGTTTTCAAACACTAACAAAAACTGCAAATGCTATTTTCCCTCTGCATTTTGCAGCATTGCCCACCACGATCCTTGACATAAATCTGGCCAGGAGATGGATGGATTTGGTTAACACACGGGACAAGGTACACAATGTGACTTTTTTAAATCGCAATACCAGTATTTTCTTTTTTCTGCAGCAAAACTTGAGCTGTGGCCATTTAAGACTCAGCAGTTGAAGACCTGGTCTGTAAGAAATGGTCACTTGGAAGTTCACGTGAGCATTGCCAGAATCACTTTGGCAATGTGGGGGAACCCCACTGTCTGCAGTGGAGTTCCGCGCTTTTCATCTTTACTTTAGAAATTACAGTCAGAATAAGGTGAGATGCAACATTTCTGAAAGGACCAAACACAGCTCAGCTTCTTCACATGAACAGTCCCTTCTAGCCTGAATGGGATGATCTTTTAATGGAATCACTATGCTGCTGCTTGGTTATAAAAGCAAACTAATCTTCTAATATAAGTGGTTTGAACTACTCTTAAATAAAAAAATAGTAAAAGGAAAAGAATTGATCTCCATTCTTGAAATAATTAAGTGTAAAAGAGTATCTTTACAGGGTAGCCACTCTAAAATGTCAATATGAATAGTAGGGCAGGGGACACTTTAGAAAATCACAAGCACCAAGTGATAAGCAAAGCAAGAAGGAGAGGAACAACTACCTGTTCCTGGCTATGTAATCTGGGCATGTGTTACAGGAGGGTTGGATTTAGAAAGGCAAATGAAATCAAAAAAACCTACACTGGGTGTCTAAGCAAATCATTCTGAGATGTATGAATGGTGGCACCAAATGCCAGGCAAAAAACAAATAACACTAACAGCTCCATAAGTCCTGCTTAAACAAATGCAGTAAATAATGGAGGGAGGCAAGTAATATATTCCAGAGGATGTTTTACAAAACCTGGCAAAACCAAGCAACTTCTTGCAATCAAATTATGTATGCCTGGCATATAGTTCACTGCAAATTCTAATCAGTTCTACCCTTCTAATAACATTACACTGAAAAATACATCATCATCCATCAACCAGATGGAGCATGATAGTTATACGAAACATATTGTGTGTTTTTTATTTTCCTCTAAGAAAATGTGATAAAAATGTGCATTGTGGAATTAAAAATTATAAATAAATATTTTAGGCTTTGCAAATATCTGTAAATACTTATTTGCAAAATATTATATATACATGTTTAATTATTAAAAATACTACTTTATGCTGTGGAGAGGGAGACATATTTTACTGGCACACACATAGGACTGCTGCCTCCTCAATGCCAAAACAGTGAAGTTTTGTTGTTCGCCTTCAGGGAACTTCAGCCAAACTTTCTGCCTGTACCTTCCATGCCATGGAAACATTTGGGCACCCAAGGCCTGTTGGGAAAAGGCAGGGTATCCCATGGAATATGTTTATTTTGCTTTGCTTCAGAAAGGTCCATATTAATTTAACAGGAACAGAAACATTTCAGCAACGCAAAGCTGCTGTGGTGCTTTGTGGGAGCTGTGGTTAAAGACTGTGTATTCCCAGGCTCTACAGCCAGCCTGTTGCATGCCACTAACTCCCACAAGCTACACTGCTACTCTAGTCATCCCTACAGAACATCATGAAGGACTCCGCAAAGATGAAGGTGGATGCAAGTCAACTGCTGTGTCACATCCAAAGCCATGCCCCGGGCTTGGGAATGTCCTTTCACTACAAGGGAACAAAGTAAGACATTTTCAGCACCCAACAGTTACAGAGCACTGTAAGGGAACGCAGTCGGTGCTAGCTTCAAACTAGCTGCAGTGCTGGGTTTTCTTGGTAGGCAGCTCAAAATTGAGAGAGAACTCAAAAGGATCACACTGATGCTCCAAACCCTGTGATGGTAACGCTGCAGAAGTCACAGGGTGAGCAGCGTGGAAAGTAGCCACTAAATACCAGACTGCAATGTGGACCGGTGAGGACACAGCTCCAGCAATGGCAAATGTGTGGGAATTGCCTTTCCAGACAGTTGGACTCATGGCCCTTTGGCTGTAACATGTTTGAGGCTCCACGTGCCAAATGTAGGCTTCTGTGAAGAGACAAGTCCTCTGTAGAAACACCACAGTAAGAATAAATTTGTCCAAAGAGACAAGGCAAAATGTTTCCATACCTGATTCAATAGGTGCTTATATATCGCTCAAGAGGGGATGTGAATAGAAGAGCTGGTTGGGGCAGAAAGCAGGTGGCAGCTCATGGAAAATCTTCTCCAAAAATGGTGATCAGCTGTTGTGTCACTTATTCTTTGCCTTCTAGGCCTGTCAAAGTCGGTCAAACTACTTTGGATAAATTGGTAGAGATCCTTGAAAACTTACACACTCCTACCTTTATCTGTGTGGGCCATTTCCTTTCCACCAAGCATGACATTTATACAAATTCAGGTTGCTATTCTCCTACTCATGGGAAGAACATAACACAAATATCCATCTGGGATCCAAACCTATCTGCTGGCACAGTAATGGATCGTGAGCAGCTCCACTGCTCTACAAATCTGCTTTTGCAAGAAATCCGGCTCATATATACTAATAAGATTTCTGGTAAAAAATTTGTAGTTGAACTTAACAGAATATCAACTGCTGCTATGGCCTGACACAACTTATGCTAAAAAAGAGCTTTATAAACACCACCAGCTCATTGCTATGTACACCTTCATATTGAGTCCTTAACTCAGTTAAAATGACATGGAAAGGCAGCCTGACAAAGGAAGCAATAAAAACACTACTGTAGCAAAGATGGCAAAGAGAATCAAAGGCTCATTTTTCCCTTTGTTTTCCATTAGACAGTGGTGCACAATAATCTAAATTGTGCTTTGATACCAGCTTCAGCAATGTTGAAAACTCTTTTAAGAATATTTATAATGATGAACGATATAGCTGTTCCAATTTGCGCAGAGTCTAATGCACTCCACAATCATCACCTATTTTGCCTGCAGGCTCTATTAATTTGATAGAACACTTAAAAAAAAGAGGAAGAAAGCGGTATTTATTCATCCAAATAAGAAATACTCTTTGATTAGAGAAGGATGACCTTGCTGAGATTTGGGACAGTCACCTCTGCTGATGTCATGCAATCATGTGATAAAATTTTCCTCAACTGACTTCCCTGGAAAATACCTTTGCAAATAATTTCATAGTGGGGAATTTGTCCTGTATCATCACACTCTGCACTGGAGACAAAGAAATGAGGCAAGGAATGCCTCCTGGCTGAGCTCTGCCTGCACAAGCCCTGTGGGCTCCTCACATCCCTTCATCATCCCCACTCCCATCTCTCCTGCCCAGGTCCAAGCAACATCAAGCTCACTCACACTTTGTCCGTGCCATAGCTCCGGTAGTCCACCGCTGCTGACACAGCCACAATCAGCGCAGGCATGCCATAGCCCACCAGATAGAAGTACTTCCTCCGGGAGTGTTCGCTCTCAAAAACCTCCACCAGCATGATGTAGAGCTGCACTCCCTCCAGGAACATCCAGGTGAAAGCTGCCAGGAAGAAGAAGTGCAGGAGGGCAGCAAAGACGGCGCAGGCAATCTGCATGAAGATTGAAAAGAGCAAGGGAAGGTGTTTGTACCATGCTGAATTAATGCAACAGTCTGGACTACTCTTACTGGAAGGTTTAATAAAAATGAGGGAGTTCTTATCTTCCCTCCCCCAAGGAAGAACTTTTTTTCACTTGGAAGATGTGTGTGAATTATTTTAAAATAGACACATCTTCGCATACATAAATTACATTAAAAGATACAACGGTAGGTATGTATACAGTCTGATAAGTAAACATATAGAGATGCACAAAGTATAAGTGTATTTTTACAACCTGCTTATTAAACACACACACACATCATTTACAAGCAACACACATACAGCCTCTGAAACCACAGCAGGCATCAGCATGTGACTCACAGTTAACAACCAGGGGCCCAACCCTGTGAAGACTCACGGATGGAATTCAGACCGCGCTAGAATGTATCTCTCTGCACAGTCAAACACTGCACATGCACTGAGAGAAGTGCCTGTGACAGAAGCAGAAAACCCTTTGTCTCTTACCGGTTGGTCAGTCCGGTTGATGCCGATGAGGAAGAGGAGTTCTGCCACGAAGAGGCTGATGCACAAATTCTTGTGAATCGTGTTGCGATCGCTCTGCAGCCCACGGAAGAAGCAGAAGGTGAAGATGCAGATCAGGAGGCAGACCAGTGAGAGTAGGATGCCAACCCATGTGATGAAGTCCAGGAGTAGGTCATGGACTGCATCGCTGTGCTGAAGATAAAACAAAAATATCTCATTGCTGCATGATGCATGACTTTTAATTCATCCCAGACACACAGTGAGGTTGCCTGAGACCCTTCCCCAAATGTTTGTACCAACTCACCAAGCTGTGGCACAAAGTACCACTACCAAAAAGATTAAATGGACTTGAATCCTGCAGCAAGAAAGCTGCAACCTGAAACACTGGCTCCAAAAAATCTTGCAAGCTGCAGGTGCCCTAAACAGACTCAGATCCAAACACATCCCAGAAACAATGATGTTGTTGTTGATAATACTGAGATGTCATAGCTAGTCTTGCGTGCAGCTCTTGCGTGCAGCTCCATCTTACGCAAATGTGGTAAAGGAGCATCTGGACACACAGCAAAGAACCATCAAATGCCATGAGTCAGGTGTAAAAAAAAGTGTGTCATGCTGACAACATCGCGTCCAACAATCCCAAGTCCATTACAACCATTTACCAACAGTAAAAAAAGAATCTCTTTAAATGTTCACAGAGATGTATGAGCTTGAAGGCTTGGAGGCTTTGGACAGAAAGAGATGGCATAAATTAATTTTTTTTTCCACAGAGGAAGGAGAAAAGAAGTTTGATTTTTCTTTTTCAACCCTAGAGTCATATTTTAAAAATCCTAGGAAGTCAGATTGATCCCTAAAATGTTACCTAGAAAAAAAAGGACAGATCTTTTAACATGAATTTGCTTTTAAACTGTGACAGAACAGTGATTTTAAGACAGCCTGGAAAGCTAGTGATTCCCTGTGATGAACTCATAACATGGTTTTACTCCAAAGCCATGCAAACAAGGCCATTTGTGGTGGCAAACTAAGGTAGCAAAGTTTTGTGAGGGGCAACATAGGTGTGCCTTGGCTCTGCTCATAAAACAGTGCTGCATTGCTCCTGAGCTTACAACTATGTATCCCTCACAGAAAGAGGAAGGGAATGATGGGACCCTCTTGGTAAGAGTATCCTAGCATCTTATTCCTTATTCTGGCTGTAAAACTCACCCGTAGCTCCCCAAGTTTCCATGAGATGCAGTGAAATTAGAGGGTAAAATGTAAATAAGAAGTGAGAAATACACGGTGAGTCAGGAGATGGCTGCTTAGGGCTTAGTGGTTAGAGTCCATCAGCTGAGGAAAAGAATGGCTGGAAATCTCTGGGGGCTTTCCAGGAACACCAAAGGGGCTTGAAACCCAGCTTTGTGGTCCACCAGATTGTGTTATAAATGGTAATCAAATTCCCCACCACTTCTGGCATTTCAATGACTTAGGCTGGCAAATACAATAGTGTCACACTTCAAAAAGCCAGGGCAAACTGGAAACATTTTTCTCTCCATGGGATAAAAGCTTATGACAGATGGAGAGAAAAGGTGATTAATTTATCCATTTTCTTTGCCTGCCTGCCAATGATAAAGCCACATCAAATGTCAGGCCTTTCCCAATATACACTCTGCTATGTTAGCACCCACAAGAAACAACTCAAACCTTTCAGCTCTTTGGCTTTATCAGCATGAGTGATAGGCATCAAATGATAATGAAAGATGGGGAGTGACTCTCTGTTCCACCTCTTCCATGCTGGAAGCTTTCTCTTCAGAGAGACTTGGACGTAGAAAGACGGAGAGCTTCCTTGCCCAAACACTCTTGAAGCTCCTCCTGAGTATTTCCTGTATCTAAGGAACTAGAGGTCACAAGTCCAACAAGGAGACAAGAAATCATTGTGTGCTTTCTGTAGATCATGACAGAAATGTCTATTCCAGCCAGCTCATCCAGCAGCGCCCAGAACACTGACAAGATGAAGCACATCATTTTCCTGGCTGCTGTGCATTGCTTTATCTCAGTGTCATTCCGGCTCATCCATCCCTCTTAACTCTGCGAAAAAATGTTAATGCAAACCTTGCACCTTGCAAATCATTCTTTCTTTTGTCTGAGGCTGCTGGAGAATGGCAGGAGAACATCTCCCTGAACAAGCCTTCATCTGATTAGATTGCCCTGCCAGACTGAATGGACCAAGAGTTCTCGGGCTGGGAGAGCAGGACAAGGCAGCTAATGGAGGTGGTTACAATGAAAAAGCAACCACACAGACTTTGGCCAGATGCACCCACCCCACCCAGATGCAGCCAACAGCACAGATTCATCTATCCCAAGGCAAATTTAGCTTGGTGCAGGGAAAATTCTCTGAGGGCTTCTTACCCTAGATGGAGGGATGAATCTCAAAGGTCTCAGTTTCTGCACTGCTTATCACAAAACCTCAACTCTGCTGACTTTAAGACATGATGCAGGAATTACAGGTGTTTTTTGCTCCTGGAGTGGGATCCTACCATCTGGGTTCATGGTCTTCCTCAGGGAAGGGCTGCTTGCCCAAGAAGCTTACCATGCTTAACAATAAACATGCTTCATTGTTGTATTATTATTGTTATTATTATCACACTACTCTTCTTTTTAATATTAATCGTAAAGATAATACTGACTTTATGTATATAACACTCATCCCTGGAGTGCTGGGAAACAACCATAAAACCAGCTTCTCCATAATTACAAACTCCCTCCCCAAACTCAACAAATTCACAAAAGAACAAACAAAAAGGAGTAATAACAATAAACTGGGAACAAGAGCAATTTAAAAACACCTCAGGGGAAAAAATATGAATTCATAGCTTTTCTAGTAAAGTCCAAGAGAGGAAGTGGGTTGAATTTTAAAGGCTGGATACACTCCATCCTGTTTGGGACGCCCAATTTCAGGTGCTACTGCAGAGCCAATGGGTCAGGGAAGACTGGCATCCTCCCCAGGGCAGCGCCAACTACCCTCAGGGCAGGCATATCCAGAGTTTTTACACCAGCAAGTACAACAAAATGAAGTTTGCCTTTTGCTGGAGATTGAAACTTGTAAATTACTGCAGTGTCACGGGTCACAAAGCAGAATAATATGGGAAAAGGAGGAATAGTGGTAATCACTCCCAATGCCATGAGCTTATCCTTGCCATCACCCAAATCACTGTGTGATGAATAAGGGAGCAATGTACCTGGTTTACACAGTTGGTATATGCAGTTCCGAGGTTAAATATGATACACAACACACCAAGATTTTGTATTTGGGTCTTAGTCTCCAAGCCTGCCCCCTTAGCCACAGAAAAATGCAAAAGGAGTAAATCTTCTCTTTACCCTGTCAAGCACTGTTAAAACGCTCCTTGACTAAGGATAAAATAGCTTTGATTTGCATGCTGATCACTGAATCACAGATTGGATAAGGTTGGAAGGGACCACCAGTGGGGTCATTTGGTCCAAGCTCCCTGCTCAGGTCCAACTAGATTCTGTGCTGCTGATCATGACCCTAAGGGATTTTTTATTCCCTAAAGATCCCTAATGACATCCTTCCGGAACAATGCAAGCCCTAGGGTCTCTAAAGCATGCAAAATACTTCTGAAACCACCAGTGTATTGGTAATAGTCAACTCTTGCTTCTCAATGATCTCCCAAATACCTGGGCAACCAGAAGAGCTCATGAGAGATACCAGATGTCAGTCCAAGAGAGAATTTCCTTACAGCATCAATCAAACAGCTCCTTGCCCAAATGTACCATGGCTGACAAGACTGGTGCTACATGGCAGAGCATGCAAGACACTGAGTTTTGTTACCACTAAGCTACATAAGCTTTACAGGTAAACTGGCATGCAGATTACTTTCAGCACAGGAACAACTTATTGAATAATTGAAAGAGATAAACTTCAGTTAAAGGGTTTCTATATTAAGTATGTTTTACATTTATGATTTAGGTATGAGCCTGACCCAAATCCCAGTGAAAGAAAATGTCTCTGGCTTTGGAATAAAGCTCTGTTTTTGCTCCAGTGGGGCCAAGAGCAGTAGGAGGAGAGTGTTGATGGAGACTTGTGCAGGAGGAGTTACAGGAGAACTGGTAGCAACCACAGCACAGTGAGCAGGCAGCCCAGATATTATCCAGGCTGGGAAAATCAATGAGGAGCTCTGGCAGTGCCTGTACACCAGAGCTGAGCTAATAAAAACAAATCCCAGGGAATGTCAGCTTATGACAGAATAGCTCTCCCTGAGATGAACAGCCATTTCCTCCCTTATTAAAAACATCAGCAGAAGAAAACAGCAGCCAAACTGAGCTGCCAGCAGCAAAGGACACATTCCTTTGCCTAATCTGTCCCTCCAGGAATGGAAGAAGTAATATCTTTGGGGGCAGAGGAATAAGCAAGCAGTAAATAAAAACACGATGTCATAAACTAACTCAGATATGACCGCTCGGCGCCTGGTGGGAGCTGGCAGTGTACTGGGCTGGGCAGAGACCCAAGTGGGACAGGTTTGAACTTCTGTGCATTGCTGATACTGCTTCCTGGATTTGTAGCTATTTGGGGCCGTGCAGGGTCCCTCTGCCCTTTTTCCCCCATCACTGGTGGTGAGAGAGGATTACTGCTATGACCTGGCTGTAATGCTTTGTGGCTAAGTGCAAAGGGCTACTTAAGAAGCAGATGCGTTTGTAAATGTGCCAAAAGCATCAGCTGGGGTATATAGACTGGGAGGAAACCCCAAAGGACTCCTGCAGTGTGTCTGGGATGGCTACAGGCATCACCTGCCACAGCTATGCAGGTATGAGAGGTTTTGGGGGAGCTTTTCCCTCTCTGTGGCCAAGACGAGTATGTGCTGGAGGTATCCCTTTGCTTTAGCACCCATCCTCTCCATCTTCCCCAAGGATGTACAGAGGGAGGTAGGCAGCTCTGCTCCACAGCAAACACAGCACCCATGGGCCTGGTACATATCCTCTCTTTACTCTGCAAAGATGATGCTGTCAGGGCACCATCAGGTTGTAACCCAGGAATAAAGAGAGCATAATTCTCACCTGAAGCCCCTGTGCAACATCACTGTCTTCAGACTATAGCTGTTCATAATAAGGCTCAGATCCCCAAGCACTCCTGCAAGGTGCTTTAGTTGCCTTTCCTCTTCTTGCCTTAGTCCACAAAGCTACCTTCATATTCTGCGTGGGCA